TGGACGACGAATATGCTGTGAGTGAGCTCTCGGACGTGGTCAGCATCTACAGCCAAAGATACCCAGACAGTCCTTTCATAATCATGGGGGACTTGAATGCGAGAGTGGGTAACCTGAGCCAAGTGGACCCGTGCATCACTGAAGGATCTCATCTGACTCACTTAAGATCGAGCCTCGATAACAACATCAACCACAGGGGGAGACTCTTGGAAGATGAACTGAGCAGCCTCGGTTTTTTCCTCCTCAATGGCAGGACGCGCTCTGACTCTCCAGCCAACTTCACCTTCATTCACCAAAGGGGAACGAGCGTCATTGACACAGCTTGGATGAACACCTCCGCCGTCGATTTCATACATGACTCTCGAACCACCCCACACGGATCAAGATCACCTCATTTGATCTACGAAATAAGGCTAGCCTGTCCAAACGCTTCATCCTCATCAACAGTGACCAACCAAGCCTCTGTCATAGCAGAGAAATACCTCTAGGCGAAAACAGATGAGGAACATCTTACCTATCTCAGGTGTATCTGCGATGCTTGGAACTCCTTTGTCATTAATGCTACGGATCGATTTTCCCTAGACCAGCAAATTGAACGCACGATAAAAGTAGCCGCTGCAAGAGCCAACCTCTGCAAAACATACCAGAGTAGCTGCTAATTGCAAGGAACTAAAACAGGAGGTACGCCACTTATTCAAAGTCGCCAAGAACTCGTCCTTTGAAAAATACCATAGGGACAATTACCTTGAAGCCAAGAAAAATCTGATAACGGTTATAAACATGCAGGAGCGGAATAACAGAGCCGCGGAGATTGGTGCGATCTCCAACGTGCGCAGTACGAGGGAATTCTGGTCTACCTACCGGAAGCTCTCGCCGCGACCATCCCTTGTCTGCCCGATATCGATAGATAGCTGGAAAAACTACTACTTGTCACACTATTCTTCACAGACTGCCGAGATTCACAATTATCGGTTCCAAACGCTCCACCCAGTTCTGGACTCACCTATCTCCTTCGAAGAGATACGCAAGACTTTAGCGCAGCTGGCAACGAACAAAGCACCAGGACCAAATGGCCTAGCAAATGAGTTTTACAAGAGCCTCTCACCACCTTGCATATTAGCTCTAACAAACCTCTTCAATCGAGTTTTGGAGACAGGGGTTGTTCCTGAATGCTGGGGGTTAGTTAAGACCATAGTGTTACACAAAAAAGGTGACAAGTTAGATCATGGTAATTATCGCAATATTGCGCTATTCAATTCCATCTCGAAAATCTACACCCAGATTATTGCAAGCCGCATGCAGACCTGGTGTGAAAATCAAAAAATGATCCCTGAGTACCAGGCTGGCTTCCGCAGGAACAGAGGTTGCTCCGACAACCTATTTAGCCTACTCTCTGCCACTCAAATAGTGTTGTCCCAGCCTGGCAGATACCTGTTCTCCATATTCGTGGATTTTAAACAGGCTTTTTATTCAGTGCAGCACCAGTTGTTATGGAATAGATTGAGGGACCTGGGACTGGGCTCTAGAGCACTAAACTCAATAGTTGACCTCTATGAAAAACTCAACATGTTCTATGAGATCAATGGCACGAAGTCCAACAAGATGAGAATTACCAAGGGCACGCCACAAGGGGAATCTCTGAGTCCTCTATTATTTATCCTGTTCATCAGTGGCCTGGAGGAGCATCTCCGAGAGGCGGGGCTTATTGGGGCTAGCCTTGGAAGATCACTCGAGCTCCTAGCGTTGGCCTTCGCTGATGATATTGTTCTCCTTGCCGATACTGCACAAGCTACGCAGAGGACACTAAATGCTCTACACAGCTTCTGCTCATCCCTTGGCCTCTCGGTGAACGCCAAAAAAACGCAAATAATCATTTTTCACAAGAGCCCAAACTATCTGAGCATGCCCACGTTTAAATACAGCGAAAATACAATTGACGTCACGAAATCATATTCATATCTTGGAATTATATTCTCCAGATCTGGGAAATTCAATGAGGCCGCCATGGATCGAGTGACAAAAGCTAATCAGGCAATTGGTGTGACGCTTGGGAATCTTAGGAAGGCGAAGCCCAGATCTTCATTACCCGCAGAAAAACTTTTTAATGCGGTAGTCAGTTCCACCCTTCTCTTCGCGGCTGAATTCTGGGCGGATGGTCACGAAGGCACCCTGTGCTCCGCCCAGTAAAAATTCGTTAAACAGCTCTATGGTTGGCCCCGCTCCACTCCGCACTACATAGTCCACATAGAGTCGAAGGTTCCGGATCTGAGCATAGAAATCCTGAAGAAAAAACTGCGTTGGCTGATAAAGCTATTGGAGATGGACGAAACCAGGCTGCCCCGCCTGTGTTACAACAGGCTGTTACAGACTGCCACCAGGAACCTGCGCTCTACAAGTTTAAACTGGGTCAGTTCTGTTCGGCAAAATCTAGGCACTCTCGGCTATGGCTCGATCTTCGATCAACAAAACCCCCGACGATCTCGGCTCACATCGATGGGATTCTGGCGAAGCAAGAGAAAATTTTGAGGGAACAGGATCTGGAGCAAGTGCGAGCCTGGTCATTTTGTCCCATGTAAACTGGCACTCATAAGTCAGGCAAGGATAGCTTCGAAGAGGGGAGTAAACTTCTGCTGGAACAACAATCGCATCAGGATCAACCCAGAAAACCCGTGTCCAGTGTGTTGCTGGGACTGCCCAGATGACCTTCAGCACTTCTTAACCTCATGCCCTGCATCAGACTTGGTCAGAACCAGGTTCTCCAACCTAGGTACATCGATACAAGAGATCCTAAGAGTCAAGACGCCAAGAGAAGCCGACGTGGTGTTCATATTCCTGAAAAATCTGATTCGTCTGCGATTGAATATCGTCGGCTCCTAACACATATCAAATACGCGGAAACCAATATGATGAAATGTTGTACTGCAGACTTTATCAAACGTATTCCATAATCAATCATTAACAATCGTCGTCTAAAAACTTGTCTTAATACCGTTATTCACGATATCTCTTCCTCTGTAAATTTCGTGTAAATTGTTTTATTTTAAGACAAAACTATTAGTTATGTAATCCCCCTATGTACTGTGCTATGTCACAAAAGTGCAATAAATAAAATAAAATAAAAATAAAATTTTATCCACTCGTCATTGAATGGTGATGAATGAAATGGTCGTTTATATTTCCATATACTTCCCTTCGGAAGCTTACTACCAATGAAATTGGTAGAAAAAAAAAGGAGAAAAGTATAATAAGAAAAAAAGTAATGGATAGGAGCTCTACCCCTGCTTGTTTTTGGTGTAATTTATAAAAATTTTCCGAAAAATGATCACACACTTTCAGACATACATACACACATTTTCTAAAAACATCATATCTTCATGTTTCATGACATTCTACATCATTTCCAGGCAAAATTGGAAGATCGCAAAAATCATCGGTCACAATGCTTCCATGCGGAAGCAAAAATGTGATAAAAATTGCGATAAGTAGGTTATAACAATATTTTTTATCATATAGTAAAAGTCAGAGTCCGGCAAAAATATTATTTTTGGTAATAGTGGTGCAGAAATGGATATTATTCTGTAAATGAGAAATGAGCAATACACATTTTCAATTAACTCATAAAAAACAAAAATAATGAGTATATGCTGAAATAAAAATGATTATTTTTCCAACCCAAATATCGGGCAATATAATTGGCCTATTCGACATCACGTGGTATAAGCTACAGAGTTTTCAACTGATAATTTTTTGATAATTTTCTCTGAAAGTTGCTATATAAAAAACAAAACATCATGCAGTCGAATTAACCCCTCGTCAAACTGAGAGATTGAATTCAATTGTGTCGTTGTGTTAATTATACAATTTTCGTTTCTCAATTGTGAGTTTCGTCTCATGGTCCAATTATATTGCCCGACATTTGGATTGGAAAAATAATCCCCCGAATACCACACGAGCTTCAAAATTAATCGGGCATTTTCCTGAAGGTTCCCTCCATACAAACGAAGTCGTCAAGTTTTTCAGGAAAAACTTGACTCCTTCGTTTGTTTGCAACGAACCTATCAGAACATACCCGATAATTTTGAAGCTCTTGTAGTATTACAAGTGACAAATCTCCTCTATCAAGAAGTGTGTCCCTTCTCTTCATCCATGTTTCCAGTAAAAAATAATAATCACCCAGTTTTCACACATTCCCATGGAACACCCTGTAGAAACAGGACCAACGTTCTTGGTGAGAAATTTCAACTCACTGTCAAGTATCTATCTAATCTTCTATGTCCTGATCCACGCCAAGGATGTTGGTCCTGCTTTTACTGATTTTTTATTTTATAGAGTATATTTTTCCAATCCCTAGTTGATTGAGAAATATTTTTCTCATAGACATCTGATTGTGTTCTATCGCCGTTCATTTGACATTTCTGGCTTGGCTTTGTTTCATGTTTTCATATTTTTCAAAAATTTCTACTGTTCAGTAAGAATCAAAGAAAACGTTTCCTTGGCACAGTTGTTTTTCACAAAAATGCTTCCATTTCTCTGTCAATATCAAATATAAATATCCAATATCCGTAAATTTAATTCAGTTGATTGGTGATTTGCGCAATCATTTAGAAATTCAAACTTCAACTATTGTAATATTATTAGAAAAATCAGTTTATAAACAATTAAAATTCCATATCATTCATATAACAATATTTTATTGGGATATTTGAAGTTTGTTTACATTCTTTTCCAATCACCAAAATCTATTCTACGCATTTTTGGTTCACTCGCTCTTAATATCAGGTAGAAGAAATCTGTACCGCAGTAATATGAAAAGTGTATCTGGGATTTACAACCGTAGTGGTGGGGCCACCAAGAATAAGGTGCTACACGTGTTGATTATTTCGTATAATTATACAAACCATGATGAGAACTTACTTGTTTTTATTCAAAAGAAGGAAATCATGTTATACAAATACGATACAAGAATAAGAATAAAAAACATCAATTAGTTCAGTACGTACACATCAAACAGAGAAGTTGAAGTTATATTATCCCCAAACCTCCTTTTCGATCCATGAGAGATAATGGTATACGCGTGTGTATATTCCTGGAATAATACTTCCGCACAATATTCCTACACTTGTGATGCCGATGACATCATACATGCATTCGTTATTGCGATCGAAGACAACAAGTGGTCCGCCGCTGTCCCCCTTTAAAATCAGTTAGTATTAGTATTCAGTTCTTGAAATACACACGAGAGGCGAGTCATATTGGAATTAAGTAACACCATGATTATAAAATGTCTTTGTTCACTTGTCATTAGTGAATACAGCAAGTGGCTAGTGTAATCAAATTGTGATCAGTAAAAATGGCTGAACTCATCATAATCACTAAAATCATAAGATTACAGTTCTTATAATAGTTTTCGCTTCCGAATGGAAGCTTTGTAATCGTTCAAATTTAAATTGCCAATTTTATGTGTTAGAGTAACTACGCTGATAGAAAAGGTGGAACGATTCAGTTGCATCAAACGAGGCTTCTTGACTGTTACCGCGATTCGTTAATAGTTAACGAATCGTGGTAATAGTTGAAAAGTCTCGTTTAGTTCGACTAAACCGTTCTATCAGTGTAAATATGGTGTGAAAAGTCCGAATATGTGATTTTTAGATGATCTCGTTAGACTTATATATGAGCTATTTCATGTCAAACCACAACCCAAGTAAGAATTAACAAATTGCCCAAGTTTGGGCCGAGGGCGGCTCAACCTGGACTAGTCATAGACCAAGATAGGCATCCAAGGCTGGCCCAAGGCTGGTTGAGCCCCGAAATGATAACGCCTGAGCCCTTCTTGGCCACCAAGACCGGGCCTAGCTTGATCGCCAGTCATTAGCCGTCACGGCTGTTTATTGATTTCAATGTAGTATTTATTGATTTAAATGAATGAAAAAATCAAAAATAATTTTCATTCAATCATTTTTGTGATTGATTATCCTCTAATTACCCACCCCTAACGCATCTTGCAGTGAAAATCCGTAACTTGTTAAGGGGGGACCCCGGTGAAATTTGAAAGTCTTCGGTGGATCTAGACTTATTGAGCGACTTTAGTTATATGATGGAATATGTTGAAAAATGGTAAAAATCCCGGACCCAATCGGTAAACGAGACAGTTTCTGATCAGGAGATAGTACCTGATCACTTGGCCGTATTTTTGACGATTATGAGTGTTAACCGGTAGATATCGATGAAGTAAGGTCAACCATGAAAAAATCGAATTTCTACTTTTATCTACAGTCAGAATTATATGTCTGATATCTAAAAAATCCCGCTAAAATTCCCGATAAAAACTCGCGAATACGTGATCCCGCCATTTTCACTGTTTTGTTATGGTCTGAGTTAGTCGTGTACCTCCACTTTGGACAGTGATATTTTACAATGTAAGTACCCAATTAACATGAAAATTATCGATTTCTCACGCCAAAGAATATAAAAGTAGCCCAGAACATTCAAAAATCCATGGAAATTCATTTTTTTAATACAAATGTGATGATCAAGAACTGTCTACTGAAATCTAACCTCGCGACAGCTGTTGATCATGGGATTCATGACGTGTTCTTTGGCATTTGTTCAGGTTAACTTCTACTCAGTGTATGAATACTGGTTGCAATTTTCTTTAAAAAATAAGTGACATTTGAGAATTTTCTTCCGATAATTTCGCAACATATGCTAATTAATGATCCTTCATCGCAGGCCTAAAACGAAGAAAGGAAATAAATTCATGGATTATACAGAGGTACAGCTTCAGAAAGTTCTTTCTGAGGTGAAAAGAGGTGTGCCAGTGCGTTAAGCAGCTAGAAACTTTAAAATCCCATATACGACATTGTTCTATAAGACGAGGGGAATATTGAATCCCACCATTTGTAGAAGAGGGCCAGAGTCAATCCTTGGGAAAGAACATGAGGAACCATTAGTGAAGTGGATTCTCTACAGAAGTGACAGTGGTTTTTCCTATTACGAGAATCCAACTCCTTGATAGTGTGATAGCCCTTCTCAAACATTTGAAAATTACCACACCTTTCCCAGACAACCGTCCAGGAGTAGGCTGGTACAAAAGTTTTCGCCAGAGAAATAAACTCAGCGAGAGAACGTTCCAGAATCTCCGCAGTGGTCGAAGTGCAGTAACAGAAGAGCACCTGAGGGGTTGATTCACAGAAGTGAAGACCTATCTTGCTCCTCGTGGTCTGCAGGACATTGATGCATCTCGTGTGTTCAATTGCGATGAAACAGCCTTCATTCTTGCTCCAACAGGAGAAAAGGTGTTAGCTCGTCGAGGAGAGAAGACTGTTTACAATTTTGTCAATGATGATGACAAGGAATGTCTCACTACAATGATATGTGGGAATGCTGATGGGCAGTTAGCTCCACCCATGGTGATGTTTGCCTGCACTCGCATGTCTCCTACCCTTGCTGCATCAGTACCACGATCGTGGGGCATAGGCAAATCAGAAAATGGTTGGCTAAACAGCGAATCATGCTTGGCATGGGTGACCAATTGCTTTCATCCTTGGTTGAAGGAAAACAATTTTGAGTTCCCCATCATCTAGTATCTAGATGGATGCAGACTCCATGTGACGTTAGAAATCAGCAATTTCTGTAGAGAGAATGGTATAATACTCGTAACTCTCTATCCCAATTCAACACACATCATCCAGCCCCTTGATGTTGGCATTTTTAGACCAATGAAAGCTGCCTGGAGTAAGGCAGTCCGTGATTGGCGAATGGGGAACGATGGGGATCGTCTGAAGCATGAGAATTTTGCTCCAGTCCTGCAGAAAGCTATCAACTCCCTGGATTTTCAGCAACTCCTTCCTAGTGCATTTAGGACGACAGGATTATATCCTTTCTCACCTGCGGCTGTGAATTATCAGAAGTTTTTCAAGAATTCAGCCTCCAGTGCTCCTGCTGCTGCTCAGACCTGTCAAAATATGCCCCAATTCCCCAAGTATGTCACGATCTTCGAGGAGGAACTTGGTAATGATCTTCTGGAGGTTTTTCGTTGAGTTGGAGAGAGTAATCCATGGACAGGAGATGAAAAACATGAGATTCTATTCAAAATATGGCAAAAATTGAGAAGAAGAGCATCCAGAGATTGTTCGAAAGAGGCCCGAGAGACTGATGAAATGGAGGCAGACGAGGAGCAACACATTGGATCGACGGTTGATCCCGAGGTATCAGAATGAATATTTATCATTATTGCTCCATGTCCAATTATCGAATCATGTTACAGATTTTTTTAATTCAAAACTCAAATCAACCAATGGACTTTTTCGACGAATTTAAAAAATATCTTACTCATAATCCAGTTTCAATTCGTTCATGACTAAATTTGTAGGCTGAGCCACCCAAAGAAACGTTTGATCAAGGAACAGATGAGCCCGGAGTGCTCCCACAATTTTTGAATCCTGACGAAATCCCTCCTGACATCGAAAGTTTCCTAGTGGATGAAGACAGAATCATTCTCGAAATTAATGACGACGGATCATTGATCCCAACAAGTACAAACTGTCGAGACTCTCAGACCCATGAGACCTCTGCTGAAGATATCTCCTCGAAATCAGAGATATCCAATTCCCCCACCACGATGAAAATCAATCATACTGATCAGGGCATTCCCTCCCAACCTCAAGACCCGAAAAATTCGGTGCCTTCACCTCGAGCTAGTACTCCAACAGGACCAAATCTCCTTCCTATTCACAATGATGTTAATCACCAGTCCTCATCGACATCAGGAGCATCACGAGCATTAGATAGGAATGCTCCTCCGAATGAAATAGAGTCCAGTACTTTGGGATTCATGACTCCTGTATCAAAAAATCCACCCTGTCAGTCATCTGTCAATTCTGCTGTTGATCAGCCTAGTATCTTAGAATCAGCGAGGTCAAGATCAAAAGAAACATAGAGAAGTAAATCTCCAGTCAGAGATTGCCACTCCAGGTCTGTGGAACCACCAATTCCGGGTTCTGCGAACCCATTTTCTGACGTACCAGTCCAGTTTGATAGGAATCAGCGCATGACCCCACAATCATCAAAGACACCAAACGACAGAGGAACTCCAGAGGTCAATTCGAAGATTGCATCGATTAGTGGAGGAGGAAAAATTCGCGTTGATCATGAGAGTCATGTGGGGATTGGTCCCATTACGCAACCTCCCAGTGTGGAAGAGTCTCTCAAAAATCCAAATGAAGAGATTAGTCCGTTGAAAGATATGCCCTCAGCGTATGGAGAATTGCCCTGGTCAATCCCCAAGTCCAAGAAAAAGTCCAAACGAGTACGTCAGACAGAGGACACACCAGCAGTGGCCAGCTCAGACCATTGGTACGTCATGATGAAGGCGAGGAATAAAAAAAAGCAAGAAGAGGAACAAATGAAACAGTTTAACAGACAACGCAGGTTGATAAAGAGAGAGTTGAAACAAAAGCAGCTGGCAGAAGCCAAGGTACAAAGGAAGATCAAACAAAAATTGAGGGAGCAGGAGAAAAAGGAGCTATTGCGAGCGAGAGAAGAGAGACAGGAACAGAGAGCACATAAGGCTCACGGAAAAGCCGAGAAGAAACAAAAAGCAGAAGAAATGAAGGCCCAAAAGAGAAAACTGAAGGAAGAGCAGGGTGCGCTAGAGAAGAAAGTGATATCGAAAATTCCTCTAGCTACCAAGAAGGTCAAACAAGAAATCTTATAAGAAACCTAAAATGGAGTTGTTCGCGGTGATTGGGATGCCTCTCAATAGATAAGAAACGAATATACCTGCCAAAGATTCTTTTGCAAGAGAAAAAAAAGGATATCGTTACTTGAATTGATTTTAACGAAATTTTATATTTGTTACTGTGAATAAACCATGGAATAAATGATTTAATATTGTATAGCAAATGGAAGAAATTATGAATACTCTTAGCCCTCATGACCTCGCTTTGCTCTTCCTGTTGAGCCCTCCAATTTCTCGACTCTCTTGGTTGTTTTTTATTTCTCTCTGACCCATCTAACTCTTGCATCCATCCAACTAACCCTTCCCATTTGATCCCCGTTCAATTCTGAAGCTTATTTGATTCTCAAAACCATTTATTCCTTCTAATTACTCCTCCTCCCGCCTCTCTCAACCGGTATTCTGAATACTGATCAATAACTGTCTCACCTCATGATCAGAAACTACTCGATACAA